TTTCTTGTCTTTAATTTGTTTGAGAGTCAGGAAGATGAATAAGCCTGGGGACTTCCTTTGGAGGTGTCTGTAGCTTTGCTCTGTGTCCTGCAGAAATGGACCAGAATGGCGTTTCAACCGACTGCAGCTTAACCCAAATGTGCTGTCACCAAAAGCCGTTCAAAATTTTGTCCCTTTAGTGGATATGATAGCAAGGGACTTTGCGGATAACCTGAAGAAGAAAATGCTGGAGAATTTCCATGGAAGCTTCTCTTTGGACATTCAGTCCAATATATTCAACTATACCATAGAAGGTGTGTGGTCTGGGGAACAGTCCAGCTTGAGGGAGACAGGAATGGCAGAGACCAAGAAGGAGGAAACAATATTGAGAGCAGTGGCTGCCTTGGTTCAGTGAATAATCAGTGATAATATTCTCTCTGCAGCCAGCCACTTTGTTATTTTTGGAGAGCGGCTGGGTCTCCTTGGCCATGACCTGAGCCCTGGCAGCCTGAAGTTCATCCATGCCTTGCATTCTATGTTCAAGTCCACCACACAGCTCATGTTCTTGCCCAGGAGCCTGACTCGATGGACAAGTACCCGGGTGTGGAAAGAAAACTTTGAGTCCTGGGATTTTATCTGTGAATACGGTAAGGACCACTACCTTGAGCAGCGAGCCCATGGGCAGGGGACGATGGTCACATGATTCCCAATTACCTTCATTTACTTCAAAGAGCTGTGGCTGCTTAAGGCCCTTCCTGTCATTTCACAGTGTCTTTAGGATTGTATAACCCAGCAATGGTGGTACAGCAGCAGGAAGACTCGGGTGGTAGGGACATAACAGTTGGGGGATGAAGCAGAGGTCTACCCCAAGATTATGACTCCATGCTTTCTCTTCTTCTACAGTCGAAAAATCTATCAAGAATGTGTATCAAGAGCTGGCAGAGGGTCGCCCACAGACTTGGAACATCCTAGGAGAGGTGGTAGCAGAGAGTACTCTGTCAATGGATGCCATCCAGGCCAACTCAATGGAACTTATTGCTGGAAGTACTGACACGGTCAGGGTTCCATGGAACATGAATCCCATACTGACAGCCCAGAGTGTTTCCCCAAAGCATAGTCACTCACAGGTCCTCCCTCACTGGGGCCATCAATTACTACCTCTCCATTGTGCTCATTTGCTGTGAAGCTAGTGAAATGTCAGAGCAAAGGGAAAAGGGTAACCTGACTAGACAGTATGTAGGCAAGGCCTGAACATCCAAGTTCCAGGCACAAGTCAGTTTAGCTAAAACCTGACAGGCAGCAGCCTACCCCTCATTTCCTCTAATGCATGAGCATGCTGTGGGCCTAGAAAGATAGTGAGTGGCTCCAGGTCAGTGTGGACTTGAGGCAGATCCAAGGAAAGACAAGGCCAAGGGAGTGATAAGCAACCAGGCTACCCACTGGTGCAGAAGGGAGAAGATGGCATTGTAATTCAGTAGGGAATATAGGCCCAGATGCAAGCTTCCTGCCTGTCAAAGGATCCTTCTCCCAGGGTCTATCCTGGGCTAGGCTTCTTGATTAGAAACAGAGGCCTCGAGTTCTAGAGAAGAAAGAGTAAGAACAGAAGCCACGATGTTCCTACCATGGAGTAGTACTTGAGAGAGTACCTCTGGGATTGAGAAGTCAGAGGCATGGGAGCAATGCAGACAGAGATCAGAGAGCCCATGAAAGTGAGTCTGACAAGCCAGAATTGTATGCATACACTCCATGGCTCGCTAAGGCAGCAAGTTACCTGAAGCAGGGATACAGGACCAGATGAGGGCAACAAGAATCTGGGTCCCATTAGGAAGGGCCCTGTACCATGTCTTAGGCCAATCAGGCAGCATAAACTCAGGCTGATTATGTCCAATGTACAGCATGGAAACAGACTTGTGATGAGAGAGAGAGAGAGAGAGAGAGAGAGAGAGAGAGAGAGAGAGAGAGAGAGAGAGAGAGCGCGCGCTAAGAGACTGCTTTTGTGGACCGTGCCATTGGAAGAGGTATTTTGGATCTAGAGGCTCATGGCTTACACAGGACAGGAGGGGTCAATGTGAAGAGTTGTAACCAATTAGAGGTTTGATCAATAAGGTCAATTCCAAGGGGCATGTGGAAGGCCAGTGCAAATCAGGGATTGGGGAAGGTAGAAATGAATGACATGGAGTCCATCTCAGTGGGTCAGGTCTAGAGCACAAAACTCTGAAATTGCTGAGGTGTTGGCTAGGAATACCATGTCAGGGATATTTTTCTATCAGATGTAGGGCAAGGAGTTCAAGTGAACATTAGAGGGGATCAGAGCCCCCAGGGTCCCACCTTGCTATGTCCCTGCACTTCCCCTAGGGAAGGGCATCTTTTGTAGTAGCGATGCCCTTGGGGAGGGTGTCTGAGACTGCTCTCTGGCTCCTACAGACAGCAATCCCCCTGGT